CCCCAAAACCCCAAAACCCCAAAACCCCTGATATCCACTTCTAAGTTGATTCTAGGATTTTTTAATGAATCTCTATAATAATAAATCAAATTACAACTCTACCTCAAAATTAATATTCTGGCTATTTTGTTGCATAACTTCACTCTCAAGTACAGATTTAGGTAGGAAACTAAACTTCATAGTTCTGTTTAATGGAGTTTTGGTATCTTTTCTTTCATACTTCTGCCTCCCTTTCCCTCGTTTAGGTGCCTGAATGAATAAATTTTTGTTATGGTTCACAAGTCTTGGCTTGATTACCCTTCCTGTGTTCTTGTACTTATGTCTAGACCTCTCTTTACACCCAGAATCTTTGTGACTGTTCTCTGAGAAATAGCTCAAGTTAAAATCTCATTCGAGATTCGATCGATATTTGTCATGCTTGAAGGTGTAATTCTGGATCTTAGTTGTCTTGTGAAATATAGGCTCATTCTCTGAAGACAGATTGAAATTCGGCTATTTTTAGATGCAAAATATTACCTTTTTCTTTGAAGGGTACTTAAGCAAGTGTGACAAAGAGGTATTTCAGAACGTAACTGGCTTTTCTAAGTCCTTTTTACTCTCTTTCGGCTATAATTTAAGGTGACAATTTCAGAAAGGATTAAGACATACATGACTCAAACTAGGCTTCTCCTCAAAAGTTCACTTGAACTGATCTCCAGTAACGATATTTACCCCAGTGTTAGCTTCTAGCTTGGGGTGCTTGACTAGCTTAATCACAGGAGTTTCAAAATATTTCCCTTTAGCTTTATTTTGCTTTTAAAACTTTGATATTATCCTTCGTTTCTTTAAGGTCTTGGCTAGCGTACTCGCTATGTAAAGTAAATATATCACCCTCTGAGGCTATAAGCAGACAAGACAAAGTCTGTAAGGCAAATTTAGGGTCATAAGAACGCAGACTAGTACCTCAGAGATGATAAGAGAGATCTCTAATGGTTATGCAAAGCCTATGTTTAGCCAGAAATGATCCATGGCTGCTGTACTTACTTGTATAAGTCCTTGCCAATTCTGGAGAACCCAATGGAGCAATGCAATGGGTTTCTATTGACCAGATTCTGGCAATAGCCCCATTTTGGAACCATTTGCTTAGGTATGTGGAGATTTACATTAAATTTCCTGTAATTTTTCAGTTTTGGAGGAGATTTTGGATCATTTTTAGGCTAAAAACTGGTTTAAAGACATTAGATTACCTGAGCAAGGGGCTTTAAAGGGCATGCAGTAATGGTCGGTGAGAGATTAGGCCGCGAAGGTGATGGGGTTACGAAGAAGGATGAGGAGATAGGTGAAAAACGATTGTTTCTGGTCTTAGAATTAGGATTTTATCGAAAGTAGGTCTTGAGTTGGATTTAGCCTATTTTTGAGTTATTATGATGAGTTAGAATGTAATTTTAAAGACACATGTAAAATTTTAGTTAAATTATATGAAAAACTATCGCTTTTATTAATAAAAATAATCAAACTTGATTATTTCTAGCATAAATAGAAGATAATGGCCCTTGACACTCAAAGAGAGCATTCCTGGCTCGATCACACCCCTAACTACCAACTTCACTTCCCAGCCCCCAATCTCACCTAACAAATCTTGCTTTCTTCTTCATTCTCTTTACTCTAAGATCTTGATTTAAGTCCATATTGTTCTTATCTTCTTATTTAATTTATACTATCTTGAATTTTATCTAGGGGTTTTGGGGTTTTGGGGTTTTGGGGTTTTGGGG